TTTATAAATTTACTGCCGCCACTTTAAAACCACTTTAGAATTGTAGAAGATAAGAGTTATCAAATTTGTATTCCGCAACGTCCTCTATCAGAAATTATTTTAACTATATTTAGTATATTTTAGTTTTTTTATTTAAACGTTACTAAAAAAAAAAAATTTTTAACCGTCATTTTAAACAATTACTTTATTCAAAAAATAAAACATTAATTAATTTTAATAAAAATAATAAAATAAATAAAACATTAGTAAAAAAAAATATGCAAAAAATAAATAACCATAGTTTAGGCAATGAACGTCGGAAAAATTAGCGCGCGTTAGAAACGTATTGAAAATTTGCCGCTAGGTGTCTCTTCCATCAAAATTTAAAAAACATTTTTTTTTTTAGTTGAAATTATTATTTATTCCTTAATATTATACTAACAAAAGAATAAAAATAATAATAATAAATTAAACGTCATCACTTACGCATATTTATGGAGAAAAAAAACAAAAAAAAATTTCCCATGCCGGGAATCGAACCCGGGCCTGCTGGGTGAAAGCCAGCTATCCTAGCCACTAGACCACATGGGATGTTGAGTCAAAGAAGAAAATAAAAGAATTTAACTTAATGTAAAAAAAAAAACAAAACAAAAACAAATCGTTAAAACGTTTTATTATCGTGTTAAAATATTAATACAAGTTTAATATAATTTACATAAATTATTATTAATAAACAAAACTAATAATAATAATAATAATTGATTTATTTATTTTATAAGATGTCAAAACGTGAAAAAAAGAAATCATAAAAGAAATGAATACAAAGACGAAACCAAAAAAAAAAAAAAATGATTTTAAATCAATACACGTTCAATAAACTTAAAAAAAATTCTTACGTAATAATAAATAAATAAATAAATCACATTTGAACTTATTAAAATAATGAAATAAAACAGGTACGTTACGAAAACGTTATCATTTGACCGATATCAACAACAACAACAACAAACGAATGTGAATAAAAAATTGTATCAACATTACATTGTTTGTTGTTTGTTTGTTTCCATACCTTGTCACAATGTTATTGTTTTTTTTTTTTTTTTATTACTTGTCATTTATCATTTTTGCCATAATTTCTTGCGTGTGTGTGTACTTAGGACAAAATAAACCAAAATTAATTAATAAATAATAATAATAATACGTTATAAATGAATAAAAGGATAAAAACAAAAAAAAATTTTTTTTTTTTTTTGGCAAATCGTTTTATAATTTATTTGCTCTATTTTTTAATCGTGTTAATTTTTATTATTATTATCATTCATTACGTTAATGCACATACCGAATAATAATAATAATAATAATGACGAAAATGCAAATATAACCTAAAATTTTTTTTTTTTTTTTTACTCGTTTCATAAGTTGTCTAATTATAATCAAACGTTTAATAAAAGTCGTTTAATAATTTTTACAAATCTTGGCAAATAAATTTATTTATATATTTATATTTATCAACAACCGCTCCAGTTTGTTGTTTGTTATCGAGTGAAAACGTTATTTTGTTTGTTTGTTTGTGTTTGTTTTTTTTATTAATTTTTTTTATTAAATTCGCAAGTAAGTTTTTTTATTTGTTGTGTGTGTGAAAAGGGGTAGAATTTTTTTTTTTTTTTTTTTATTCTTAAAATTTTGCAAAAAGTTTGTTTTAGTGATGATGATGATGATGATGAAACAAGTACTCGAAACGATTTCCGTTATTTTTTAAAAAAAATATATTAAAAAGAAAAAAATTGGAAAATCGAAAAAAAAAACCTGTCGCGTAAAATTATCATTATATTTTTAGGATAATGATAAGGTTCAATTAGGCGTATCAATTAGGTTACCTATAAAATTTGACCCGTTAAAAAACAAATTTTCTCTCTCTCTCTCTCTCACTCATGTCTTTTTTAAGGTATCGTGTATAAAAACCTTTTTTTCCTTTTAAAACGGTCAATAACCCAAAATAACGAGAAAGAGAGAGAGAGAGAGAGAGAAAAATGTGAGGATATAAATGTTTTTACGCGAGTAAAAAAAAGCAGAACAAATTTTTTTTTATTTTTGCGCAAATTTTTTACAAATAATTTTAACTTTGAGCATTGGAAAAATTATTATTATTATTAATCTTGTTATTACAGTTATTTGAATAAGTTGTCGTCGTTGTCGTCGTAGGATCGTACTACGTCGTTGTTTTCGAAATGAAATTATTAATAAAAATAATTTTTTTCTTATACCTGTTTACAAAATGTGTTTATTCCACGTTTAGTAATGATGATGATAATGATAATTCACCGACCATATTGGATCTTACACGAGGTGAGTGACGAATGAATAAAATTTTAATAAATAAAAAATCAATTTTCCGATTCCACTGTTTGTTGCATTGAAGAAAATTTATAAAGTTTATATACTTAACCGGAAGTTAGTCATTATCATTTTAAAAATTATTATTATTATTGTCGTCATGTAAAATTAAACGTGATTTGACCTTTAATCAAAAATTTTTTTTTTTTAAATAAATAATTACATATGCACACACACACACATGACCGCAAACCAGATTTGAGGTCGTTAATTTATTATTATTATTATTATTATTTATGTTTTGTTTACCTTACGACGGTTTTTTTTAGGTTTGAAAACAGCAGCCGTTGCTGCTCTCACGCTTAAAGAAAATGTTTTTCCATTGACAACATTATTAAATTCCGATTGCGTAGAACCTCCAAAAGAATGTCCAAACGTCAACATAACATTTTGGCTCTACACTAAGTGAGTGAATATCATTCGTCCATAAATTATTTATTTATTAATTTATTTATTTATTAATTTTAGCGAATACGATTACGTTCAATTGCATGCCAATCATTTGTCCACATTTTTATACAATTATGGAAAACCGTGGAAGATAATAATACACGGTTATACGAAAAGTAAAGATGATATACCAAATCCTCAATTACGTTCAGGTACGTAAGAAAACTCGTATCTCACTCATAATAATAATAATAACGTATGACATTATTTTAGGTGAAAAAATAAAATAACTTACGTCATAACGTATAAATTACGTAATTACGTGGGTGATTGTTGTCGTTGTTGTTGTTTGCCCCCCCCCCCCTCGCGCCAAATATTTTCAAACCTAATCTGTTTTTTTTTTTTTATAGAATATTTCAAAAAAGGAAGTTATAATTTATTATCGGTCGATTATGCTCCTTTAGCCGATGATAAATGTTATCTGGCATCTGTTAACAATGTTCCCCTTATTGCCAACTGCACGGCAAAAATGATAGACAATTTGGTCGAAAGAAATTTATTTGCAATGAAAGATTTACACGTGATCGGATTTAGTTTGGGAGCGCAAATCGCTGGACAAATTAACGAATATTTAAAATATGGTAAACCTGGAAGAGTGACGGGTAAGTAGTGATAAAGAGAAAAAAAAATCAAAAGAGAGAGAAAGGTGGAGAAATAATAATGTGTGCGTATACGCAGGTTTGGATCCAGCTTCGCCATTATTCGATGGAAAAGTAAATCACGTGGTTGATTATAATTCAGGTGATTTCGTCGATATAATACATACAAATGCATTGGCTCAAGGGAAATTGGTACCGACAGGTCACGTGGATTTTTACGTTAATGGCGGTTCTGTACAACCAGGTTGTTACGATCAAAAAAACGAATGTAAGATTTAAAAAATTAAATAATTACGGGTAATAAATATATATTTTGTTGTTGCAAATATTACGTAACTTGGTAACAGGGTGTTTGTACACACATTTTCATTTAATTTTTTTTTTTTCTTTCTAATGCCACGTTTCACTTCCTGTTTTTTGGTAAAAAAAATTATTTGTATCGAGTCGTTTGTTGTTACAGCATCCACATCTTGTAATCATAATAGGAGTCCACTTTATTTTGCCGAATCAATAAATTCAAAAATTGGTTTTTGGGGAATACCATGTACGACATAT